GAAAGCAAGGACGACCTGCTCAAACATGGAGACGTTCCATACTGGATGAGCTTCAATAAATAGGGTCAACATGGAAGGAAGCAAAACAACTGCCAAAAATAGCTGAACATATATCGGCTGTTATTCTTAAAGCAGAAAGAACTCTGAGAGCATTATCTGGTCTGATGCCAAATATAGGAGGTCCAAGATCCTCAAACCGAAAATTATACTCGAGCGTGGTTCATTGCCAAGTCCTCTATGGATCTCCAGCATGGTCTATGGTAACTTCCAATAAGATATTTATGATCAAGCTTAGCAGCGTTCAAAGGGCAGTTGCTATCAGGGTAATAAGCACATACAGAACCATATCTACAGACGGAGTTGGAGTTCTAGCACGGATACAGCCTATGGAACTCCAAATTATAGAAAGGCGCGAAAAGTACACAGGAGTAGGTTCAACCATAGCGAGGAATAACTTAATGGTCAAGTGGCAAGAAAAATGAGACTCAAGTAGCAAAGCTCGATGGACCCATTTTCTGATTCCGGATATAGAGGTATGGATTAACCAGTGTCATGGCGAAGTAGACTACTACGTTACCCAGGCTCTATCTGGGCATGGCTGTTTCAATAAAGATAAGAGTGTGCTTGTACTGTAGTGAAGAAGATAATGCGAAACATACACTTTTTATTTGTAGCAGATGGGTAGGGCAAAGAAGACTATTCTGCACGGAAACAGGAAAGTTTTTAACCCGACAAGTATGATGGAGTCTTTAATAACCAAAGAAATGTGGGACCTGGGTTATAAAACTATAAGACAGATTATTGAAACCAAAGAACGAGAACATAGACTGAATAAAGCCATCCGGACCATATCTATCCCTCCATAAAACTTTTCTGTGATATTATACTGTGATATATACTTACCTGTGATAAATGCTTACCTGTTATATGTACTTACCTGTGATATATACTTATCTGTGATGTATACATACCATATTTACTTTAACTGCAAACTCTACCATAGAATCTATGTTATGCAATGAAGAGACCAGGCAGAGCGTGTTGAAGTAATGCGAGAGCGGTTTCCGATGCGCTTTTGTCAATTTTCGGAGGGGAAGTTTTTAGTCGGTAGGCGGGCTACTGATGTGTTCGAATCTGACACACGTCGGCCTTTGGAACACCAGGTCGGTAAGGTCTTTTGAAGATTTTTTACCCCTCTCACAAAAAAAACTGCCAAAAATAGGTCCCGATGGAGAGCTTTGCTCCGCGTAGGAGTTATAGGATCCTATTTATATTTTGGTACATTAAAAAATCGACAATATTATTTAATATAAAATGTTTTTAAGCCTATAAAATACTGACCAAGAATGATCCGCTTATGACTTTTGGATTCTCGTTATATTATCATGTATCTCCACTAGCGGGTATACTCTAATTAGATCCTACTTAATGTCTAGAGATATAATTTGATTCAGTTGTCTTATAAGGCACCAAATACATCTTGCAATATATTATTCTATATTTAAGTAGAAACTAAAAATTATTACCTCATTTGTCTTTCTGCATTCATCTGTTAAACAATATGTTTAGTACTTGCCAAAAACTAATGATTGTTGCCGGGTTATGGACTCAAAAACTGAATTCGTCTCCTTTTAACCAAAAAATGTATAAATGGTACTCTAGAACGGTACATTGTCTATATTTGACTTGCATTGTTTTGTTTCCGATTGAATTGTTTAGAGTTATTGGAAAAGACACTGAAGCAGGTAAATATAGTTATTTCATATTAACATAATATTAGTTAATGGCTGTTATTTATTATACAGGGTGGTCCGAATTGTATTCGGGAAACTTTGGTCGCATATTCTGCAAATAAAAAAAATAGTAAAGAAGTTCGTATAAATTTATGTCCTAAAATGCTTCGTTTCGGAGACACAGGGCGTAGAAATTTCGTTTTTTTTTCTGATGTAATGTCGATACTTTTTTAATTTTTTCAAAACCTAAAATATAAAAGGCATGTCCGTATTTGAAAAAAATTATGTTGGAAGTTCTAGTACAGTGCTTTAAGCCCTTATGGGATACAAATCTCGAAATTCATTTACTGTGAACGAATTTTTATAAAACTTTTTGCATTGTATTGTTAATAAGATATATTACGAAGTTTACCCATTTAAATTCGTTGCTTTCACTTTAGTATTTAAATAAACACACATATACAAATGCATACATGAAAAAGAAAGAAATAGTGAGGGAAATAAATAAGAAGAAAAAAGATTAAACGGCTCAGCCCTCAACAAATTATTATTATACGGTTACGAGTTGTTGAGGGCTGAGCCGTTTAATCTTTTTTCTTCAAATGCATACATATATACAAGATGGCTCCGTGTTCTCTCCGTGAACTCCGAAAAAGCTCTGTATCAGGATTCCTATTTGAGATTTTCATTTCAAATCTTTTACAAAATATGTGTTGAGTCAAATATATTTTTGCACTTAAGTTTTAGTTTTTCAAATGAAATGCTTTATATTTGTGCAGTGAATTTGCTATAAAATTCCGGTTCCAAAAATACCCTAATACCATAGAGTATACTGAGTGGTTTTTGAATTATGACCACGTCCATGAGGACGTCAATCTAGACGTCCAGGAACCTTCGTATGAGAACTTCTAATGGAGATGATCGACTTATTTTAACTAATTAAAATTTAAGTTTATAGCTAAGAAACCGCCGCGGCCGGCGCGGCGTCGCGCCGTTTGCCAGCTTTAAAATTTATAATGAATTGCACCTAAGGAACGTACATATTAACTAACGGACTGTAAGAAGAAGACTAAATGAAGCAAATCTTATGTCAAGAAGGCCTGCTTCGGGACCAGAACTTACTAGATCTGTTGACTAGGACTAAAAGCAAAGGCATGGTTTTAATGTAAAATTTACAAAAAAATGTTAGTGTCTTCTTCAAAAGCGGATATCTCCAACAAAAATAAAGTTAATGAAATGAACCAAAAATTAAACTATCTAGAGAGGATGTATCTAGATGATAAATTGATTTTTAAATTTCTTGCTGTTTTGACATATTCCACTGGGTGTTTCAAACTTTCACCGAAATATCAACATTTTGTTTACCCTCGCAATTAACAGATGGGGAGTTTTATTTTTAATTTAGAAAGATATACTAAAAAGTCAAATAATTTGGCTACATACTGCCTAAAAAATTATCAAAATCGGCCTATTAGAACACACCCTGTAGAACGCTATATAATTTTAGAAAATGCTTTGACGTAAGCTCACAAAATTTCAATTCAATACAAACTTTTGTTCTTCTTGCAAAAACCGCATCGTATATGACGCGCCACCCTGTATAATTCAATTTCAATCAAAATTTCAATGATTCGGATATAAGCAGAATAGCTATAGCTTATGCATTAGATTCGTTTATTTTAATAAATTTACTTAGAAAAAAAAATAAAGAAATCCAAAAATTAAAAAGGCAATAACTAAGAATTAACTTAAAATTACTAAAATAAAAAATTAAAAGCAACGAAAAAAGATGGGTAAACATTTTAGTATTTTATCTATAAAACACAATACAGAAGGTTTCACAGTAATTGAATTCCGAGGTAAAAGTCTCTGGGCACTCCACTAATCAGCTAATTTGAAAATCGAAAAATACTATCAGATAGCCCTGATAAAGTGGCTATGAGAATGCGCAAAAAGTTTTTTGATTTTCTAAACAGTAACGACAGATAGATTTTTATTATTTTTCATTTATAATTTTAGCCATCGCGAACATGAAATCCTGCACCTTTGTAATGACTGTCATCGCTAAAGGCATCCTTTGCCAGACAAATCAAATGTCCTACCTCATCAAAATTTTACTCAAAGAAGAAATCGAAATGAAGAGAGATAGAAATAATGAAATTAATAAAATATATAAGAGTCATGTAACATTTTGCAACCATGTGTTGTATATATTGACTGTTTTGCAATATGTAACAGGAGTATTATTAGTATTTCCAAGTAAGTTTATAGGAAAGTTTTCGTATAGTTCATACCAAATAAACTTGTAGTCACGTGATTAAGTTTGACCGGCACAGCGTTGCCCACTTTTTTATATTTTCTTTTGATCAAAATATTATAGAAAATAAAGATAAATTAATTTTAAATATACAAACAGTTATTATTTACATCACCAAAACTCACCATCTTATCAGCACTTAAGAGACAAAGAGATATTGCTACCATTTTCCTGTTCAAAATATTCTAATAAAGTTGCGATAAGTTTTTGCGGCTATTAAGCTATCTTATCGTATAGTTCATACCAAATAAACTTGTAGTCACATGTTTAAGTTTGACCGGCCCAGCGTTGCCCACTTTTTTATATTTTCTTTTAATCAAAATATTTTAGAAAATAAAGATAAATTAATTATAAATATATAAACAGTTATTATTTACATCACCAAAACTCACCTTCTTATCAGCACTTAAGAGACAAAGAGATATTGCTACCATTTTCCTATTCAAAATATTCTAATAAAGTTGCGATAAGTTTTTGCGGCTATTAAGCTATCTTGCACACTTCGCACCAAAAGAGATTCTAAAAAGAATAATGCTCGACTGCAAGGTCTGCTAGTAAACATTTTTAAGCTTAAAGCATCACAATAACACTGTTTATTTAAACCTGAATCCACAGCGGAAAATTTAAATTCCAGTTAGTCAACCCGGCGCCGAATATGTCCATGGCTAGCAACAATAAATTTAAAAATCGCGCTCTCCATTACGTACCTAAAAGTTTAATTGGTATCAAATATATAAATATACTTTCAATAAATCTAAATTAAAATTAAATCTAAAGATTTTAAAAAATATAAAACTGCAATTTTAAACCATAAGCAATAAAAGAGAAATAAATCTTTAGTTGATATTTTCGTATTTTATTGTATTAATTAAATTATTGGCTTTATTCCTCTATAATTCAATTTTAAATTTTTAATATAATTTTAACTTTTACAGCTATTCTACATGCACGTCAATACAATATGGACTACATTAATTCGAGTAATGCAAATCAAACAATGGAAGCTACAAAACCACATGCAGTTCAAATTTGGTAAGAATGTATAATTTTAGTTATGAATAATTTCAATAAATAATGTGCATAGTAACTATAAAATATATGGTAATTCAGAAATTTTAAAATTATTTTTCATGACGTCAAGCACAGGAAGTGACGTCAGGCGTCAGGCGTTGAGGATGCGTTGAGGTATTCAGAATGTCGTCTTCTCTCAAACAAAGTAAAAATATACCGAAGGTACTATTTAAAAATCAAAAGTTGTAGTCATTTTCGGTGAAAAAAGAAGTTGAATACGTCAATCTACTAACATACCAAATCTTGTTTTTCATCTCAAAAAAAAATAAAAAAACTTATAGGGGTGAGCCACTTTTGAAAAACACCCGGTATAGTTTGCTAGACGTCTTAGCAAATAAACACAATCAAACTTATATGGAATCATCTATTATTTTTCATGATTTTTGAAACGTATGAACATTTTGTGTTTATGAATAAAACTCAGTCCTTACGAGACTTTTAATGAAAATAATCCATGTAGCAATAAAAAAATTGGCGCCGGGAGGCACGTATAGCCGCCCATACTAAAATATGTTAATAAAAAGTTGGTAGGCAGTTCTTTTAGTTTCAAAGTAAAGGAATTTTTCCAATTTTTTTTATCTCAAAAACTGCAACTTTGACTGATTTTGATGTTATTACAAATTTTGTTGCAAATATTATTCCTAATATTAAATTGAAAACCGCGTTTCCCTAGCTACTGTAATTTTGGAGTTACGATTTTTTAAAATTATTAACCCCCTCCCAAACCCCCCTTACCAACCCCCCACCCCCACCAAAAACTAATGGCCAGATTCTTGGGTGCCACAGTATTTTTGTGCCAAGTTTGGTTAAAATCGGTTTAGCGGTTTTTGAGTTATCGTGTTACAGACAGACGGACAGACAGACACCATGAAAATATTTTGTATTTAGGTCATTTATGACCCAAATAACTCATTTTGAGTGAAATTCAGGGCCCGAATTCTGTAACTTTGACATAAAAACGTTACGCTTTCAAAGCGGTGAGCGAAAGTATGCGATAAGCGGAACGTGAAGCAGTCGATTTTGGTATTCTCGTTGCTGTGCGAATCGTTTTCTGGATACGCGTTGAGCACATATTGACAGCATCGTAATTTTCCAGGTATCTAATAGTCAAATGTGATTAAAACAATGGAAAATGTCAATGTTACGTGAATTTTATAACCTATTGTTGAGTTATGTCAACCTATTTTTCTAAGGATATGTCATTATTCTTATTATACGAGGGAAATGTTGAAGACGCTTCTCAGCATTTTCGATGTTTTGAACAATATTTATAGCTACCAACTTGTAATTTGTCGATTACTTATTTAGGAATTTATAGAACAAGTAGGTAGTAGTTTTTCACTAAAGAGCAAGATAACGCACGAAATCACAATTTTTTCGATTTTCACTGACAGCATACTGACAGTTCGACAAGCAAAACGATCCTTTAAGGCAACCGTTTTCAAAGCGCTTAGCGCAATCAGTAGAGACGCTAAGCGCGTCAGACGAGAATACCCAAATCGTTAGTTAAGTGCGCGCTCAGCAAAAATTAACGTCATATACGCTGAGCGTCTAAAAGCGCTTAGCGTTTTCTAAGTTACAGAATTCGGGCCCAGAAGACTTTTTTTGCCGATCTTAATAGCCTACCATACCTGTCGGTATGGTCGACCAATCCGTGTTGCCACCTCGTAGCTCTTATGCAAATTCGCGCTGGGAGGCTTTTTATTAAATTATCAACGTTCTCTTGAGGTATGTTTCCCCATTCTGCTACTGCTGCATCAATAAGCTGTGCGAGATTTCCTGGATTGTTTCGACGATCTCTAACCCTTCTCTTGAGCAAGTTCCACAAATGTACGATATGGTTTAGATCTGGTGAACATGCAGGCCAGTCTAAAACTATGACACCTACGTTTCATGACATTCTCTAGCCACTCTACTGGCATGTGGAGGTGCATTATCGTGCTTGAAGTTAAACTTACTCCCAATTGCAGCTCTCCAAAGTCCAAAGCGAAACGATTGGTTCTAACAGTAAATCAACTTATCATTATAGATAACCGACCTGTTAAAGTTTGTTGAAGTGGTAATAATGGATTTTTTAATCCCAGCATAATACCTCCAAAGAACATTATAGTTCCTCCTTAATATTTTGGTACAGATTTGGCAACCTGGAGTCTCGCTCGTCTTCCTGTAGCTCTGAGAATCCGAATTCGATGGTCATCTGATCTTAGGCCAATTTCGGTGTCATCTGAAAAAAGAACATTTTGCCAATTCTCTATTGTCCAGTTTTGATGTTGAAGGTACCAATTTAGCAAGTCAGTTTTATTTTGCCGAGATAACTGTGGGACCCGTAACTCTCTCCTACTGTACAACCCTCGAGCACGAAGCCTTTTTCTTATGGTTTCAACTGAAACGTTTACACCTGTAGCTGCCTGAAGTTGTCTTTGTAGCTCTGGATAAGAAACATTGCGATTTATTCTAGCAATTTGGAATACAAAGCGTCTTGTGGTTCAGTTATGACTGTTCTTGAGAGTTCCTAGTTCTAAGTACCTTGCATATTTTCGATACAACACCTTCGATAACGGCTGCTGAATACAAAATTCACAAGAAAATTAATCGCAGCAGTCGATTATTGTTTATTAGCATGTTTATTTACAACAAAAAGCCTTATCTTAAAATTCTATACCAAGTTTTTTCCTAGTAAAAAGTTTAGTCAGAAGTAAAGAGTAAAAAAAGTAAAGATTTCAGTTAAGTCTTTTTGCTGCCAGGGCTAATCTGGACGGGGCCTACTTTGTTTACGCGGAACAAATCTTTGTTGACGAGGACCGCGGTTCGGATTCCGCGTAAACAAAGAAGTAAAGAGTGATTCCATATAAGTTTGGTTGTGTGTATGTTTATAATACCTATATAAAACACTCCAAATATGATTTTAAAAAGTGTTAACAGTAAAGAATACATTAATTATGTGCTATTTTGTATACATTACAATTTTTTCTGAACTATCGACAAACCTACATCATATTTTTTAATAGTGATAATGTCGTTATCAATTTTTCAGGTTTCCATTTGATAAAAATAATAAATATATGCTGGCAATGACATATGAATGTTTCCACATTACACAAAGTCTTATGATTAACGGAGCTGCACAAGCGCTTATCAACTCGACGATGGTATTTTTCAGAGCCCAATTGAAATGTTTGCAATTTTTCATTAAAAATTTTGATACGACTCTAGTAAATGGCGAGATTATGTGTGATGGTATAGAGGAATCTATAAAACTTCTTATAATCAAGTATCAACAAGTTATTAGGTAATATTCTTTGTTCTATTTATTGACACGCGTTGTTTTTAGAATATTCTAACAATAACCAATAAAAAATAAAATTTTTACATATATGAGCACAGCGAGAGTCCTACAGCTTTTACGAGCCCTAACAACTATATGTTGGGACAAGGTCTTTTTTTGGAATTATTGCCCTGGTTTTTCAAAATAACTGAAAAATATATGTCTAATTTTTTAAATATAAACATAGCCATATATCCCAAACAACTTGACAATATTTTTATGAATTTGTAAATCAATCCATATTTACAGTAGCGGATTTTGTTCATAAAAGGACAAATTTGCTGACAACTAAATGTTGGGACAAGTATTTTTAAATAGTTAATATCATCATAGGCGGCTTTGCTATAAACGTCACAAATATCGCAAACTGTTTACTTCAGCATTGACAGCTTGTAAGTGACTCGATACTTTGAGTAGTGAGATTTATTCTAAATAATTTTAATTTTTTTAATTTTCAATTTTGTTAATTTTCAATTTTGTTAATTTAATTCAAAGTAATGGTCCGTGGAAAAGCTACAAATCAAGAACTACGAGAAATTATCATTCGTCAATACAGTACGGGAAAAACAATTCGAAAAATTTCTGATGATTTAAGTATTCCAAAAACCACGGTCTTTAATATAATAAAAAAAATACGGCAATCTACCAATGTAGACGTTAGAGGTAAAAGTTCGGGAAGGCCAAAAATTGTATCTGAGAGAGATTTACGAAATTTAGTAAAACTTTGCGCAAGTCTGCAAGAAGAAGTACTCTTCGTGAAGTAACAATTAAATGGAATACTGTAACTGGTTTAAATATATCAAGAGAATGTTGCCGAAAATATATCCATAAATGTGGTCTGGGGGTTTTACAAGGTAAACTTTATTTTGTGTGGATAATCAATTACGTGAAGATTATTGACACAAATTCTTATTTAGGCCAAAGAAAACCGCTACTGACAGAAATTCAGAAGAAAAATCGATACAATTGGGCAAAATCTAAATTATTGTGGACACAAAATGATTGGAATAAGGTCATATTTAGCGATGAGTCTAAATTTGATGTTTGCGTTGGAGATCATCGAAAACGAATAATACGAAATAAAGCAGAAGCCTTTCATGAAGATTGCTTAAAGAGGGTTGTTAAATTTCCTAAGCAAGAGGTTTGGGCAAATTAAATTTTATAGATGGCACTGTTATATCAACATATACTTGATACCTCACTTTTGCCTAGTGCTCAAGAATTGTTTCCAAACGAAGACTATATTTTCCAACAAGATGGAGCATAAAAAAATTTGGTTCGGTAATAATAATATAAAAGTTCTATCCCATCCTGCAAGTAGTCCAGACCTCAATGTTATAGAAACTGTGTGGCATAAAATGAAGCAATATTTAAGAAACCACCCTCAACGAACAATTTTTGATTTGCGGACAAAACTGAGGAAATTCGGGATAATTTTTCTCCTCAAATGTGCCAATCTTTGGTAAATACAATGCCATTAAGAGTTCAGGCAGTTGTTAAGGCGAAAGGTGATGTAACTCCGTATTAAACAAATTTCTTGTTGTGCTGTCCCAATATATAGTTGTCAGCAAATTTGGCTTGATTTTGGCAAAATAAGCTATTTCTAAAGTGATTTGTTTGCAAAGTTATAAAAATATAGTAAAATTGTTTAGATCATATTGTAATGTTTGAATTTAGAATAATAAACAAAATAAATTGAGTCGTTTTAACAAATTACTATTTTTATTGCAAAAAAAGACCTTGTCCCAACATATAGTTGTTAGGGCTCGTATTATTCTTTCAATTAATTTTGCTACTCATCGTCTCTATAATAGCGTATCATTCATTGTTTTTCAAATTCCTTCTTCGCATGTTATCACTGGTCTTCCTCTGCTTCGATGGTTAGGGACATAATCAGTGGCTCTTTTTACATCAATATCAGCTCTCATCGCATGTCCATAAATCTTGTAATAATTAATAAAGAACTATGAAAAACTAAAAGAATTTATAAAGAAGTAAATTTTCATGTACATCGATAGGTTTGTAGCTTCTGAATAACGGTCTAGGTAAAGAATCTAATTCATTTGCTAGCTCAGAATTAGAATTTAGAGGTAGTAACTCGCATTTTCTAAACTAAAACCCTAAATGAAAATGAAGAGCAAGTTATTGTTAATGGACAAAGGAATGAGAGAACGTTAAAGAGTATATACCTATATCTAGGTTATGCCATAAAACTCGGCAAGGAAAATCAAACAACCGAAATTTCTAGAAGGATCAAACTCGGATGGGCAGCTTTTGGCAAACTTAACTTTATATTCAAAAGCAAAATCCCAAATAGCCTAAAAAGAGACGTTTACAACAAATGCGTCTTGCCTGTCATGATCTATGGTTTGGAGACTATGACGATGACGGCACGAAGTGTGAAGAGGTTGCGAGTGAGCCAAAGAGCTGAATGGAAAGAGCCATGATGGGTATCAGTCTTCACGACCACATTAGAAATGAAGACATTCGCCGACAGACGAGGATAACGGACGTCGTAGAGAGGATAGCTAACTCTAAATGGTCTTGGGCAGGACACTTGGCCAGATAGTCCGTGGAAAGATGGGCAAAAAGACTTCTTTGCTGAAGGCCACGCCTAGCAAAACGCCCAGTCGGCCGACCTCCTAAAAGATGGACTGATGATATCCAAACCGTAGCCGGTAAGGACTGGATGAGGAGGACACAGAATCGAAACGAGTGGAAGAAACTGAGAGAGGCCTACATTCTGCAGTGGATGAGTAATGGCTGAGAAGAAGAAGAAGAAGAACTCGCATTTTCATTGGAGGACACTGTCATATTTATTTTAAACCAATTAGTCTTACGTTTTCGAGAAAATATATTAACAAAACTCTTTGATATATCTTTTACTATGCTCTCTGGAACAGCATGCGGCCCGTCTGGCTACCGATACCCGTTGCGTTCACTACTGCGCCTCGGAAGATGATCCTATATTTTTTTTTTAATTTAGTCCTATAAATTCTAGTATTGAATATAAATCGAACATGTCTTCATAGCGCAGTGCGTAGAGTTTCCGACCATTTCCGACTACGAACCGAGGATTCAGAGTTCGAATCCGGGTCAGGGCAAAAACTTTTTTATTTTATTTTTTTTTATATTCTGATAGTAAAGTATTAAATAATTCTGGTGATTCAAAAAACAACAAATATTTAATAATTTATTATCAGAATATAAACGAAAATAAAATAAAAAAATTCTTGTCCTGACCTGGATTCGAATTCTGACTCCTCGCTTGATAAGCGGAACCTCTACGCGATACGCTATGGAGACTCGGTCGGTTTATATTCAATACTAGAATTTAAAGAAGTAATAAAAATATAGGATCTTCTTTCAATGCGCAGTAGGGAACGCAACGTTCACCGGCACGTTCCAGACGGGCCGCATGCTGTTCTAGAGAGCATAGTAAAAGATATATCAAAGAGCCAGACGTCTTAAAATACTTGTTTTCCGACGTTGCTAGCTCTCGTACTAAATAATCAGCGAGAATATTCGTATAATTTCATAAAATTACTGTAAATCACAATAAATAAAGAATTGTTTGTAATTGAACTGTAATTTCTGTATTATTAATCCGGTGAATGATAGAGATTGTGATTGATTAAAATTTTATTTTAACATAAAACTTTTGTTAACTGAGAATTCGAATTATTTCTAATTATTCGAAGGATTGTTAAAAATATTATTATTGTTTGCTATAACACGTAAATTTACGCTTTTTCCAATGAGGCATGGACATTTTCCCTGTGCATGGACAACCCGAGCTTCCGACCACTTTATATTGTGCTGTTTTGACCAAACATCGTGAGAAATACCTGACTTCATTATTTCATCTTTTCATGCATATTTTTTATGCTCGCTAATTCGAACATTTAGAGGACGTTTAGTCTCTCCAATATACGACTTGCCACATGCCACATTCAAAAGTTACCTGATAAATGCACTCTTTCTCTTGTTTCAATAATTGCGGCTTTTTTTATTAAGATGCTTCTTAGAGTCGATCCAGATTTGAAGACAGTTTTAATAATAATAATAATAATAGATACTTTTAGCTATTTACCTTTCCTTTTTCGACGTTCCTTTTACATATAGAATAGTTAAAAGAGAGAAAGAGGTTCAGGCTCAGGTCGTTGAACCAAAGAGTCAGTTTTACAATTTGATATAATTTTGTCTATGGACTTCTCAGAGTAACCATTCTGAAGGAAATCCGTTCCTAGAACGGAAATATCTACGATATGGCAACCACTGCTAAAATGCACCACTGCAGGCAATCTAAGTGGACAACCTCACGATTAGGGCATTTAATCCCGGGATCCCGGACATTTTTTCAATCCCGAAATCCCGGGATTGTCTTTTCCTAAATCCCGGGATTTTCAGGATTCATCATTACATTTTTTCCTTAATTTAAATCGTACACAAGTCTTTCATGATAGTACAATATGCGCTTATAAACAACCCTGAATGTTTGATCAAGTTTGAAGATGATGAAGATCTAGTTTGAGTGATAATACTCTTGATCGGCTTGTTTTTTTTAAGACATTTTTTCAAAAACCAAAAAAACCAAGTTTAGATTCTCATCTTTGTTACTGCATAAGTTGTTATTTTAGTATCTCTTAGTAATCCTGTGTTATGAGGTATTCGATTGGTTATGTAAATTAAATAAAAAATGTATATTTTAGTTCCTTTTATGTTTTTTTTTGTTAAATAAACTTATATGTTATGTTGTGGTGTAATGGGGATGACGTTTAATTTATGTTAATGTTTTTTTTGTTCAATAAAACTTTGTAAAGAAAGAAAATATAATATAATTCCAACGTAATTAATTTTTTCGTGAATCCCGGGACCAATCCCGGGATCCCGGTATCGAAAAATTATAATCCCGAATTCCCGGGATTGAAAATTTCTTTCGGGATTGAATGCCCTACTCACTG